AGGTCTTTTGAACTGATATGTATGGAAGAATTTGTGATCAGTGGAGATGCCGCCAATTTATTGAGGCTCCTCCAGGAGCGAGAGAAGATATAATACTTGGACAGATTGTGTATTGTTGACATGTGCAATGTCCGACGGCGGCTATGCCCTCCAGCAGAGGTGCAACGGCAGAACACCAAGTGGTCCAACACCAGACTGAGAGGTGGACGATGGTTCTAAGTATTTTAATTACTACAAACGGTTTCAGCCGAGATCTGCGCCATCCACGTGGAAGAGAGGATTGATGATAACAGTTGCTATAGCAGACTCCAAGAAAAGAGTTACTCTTGAAACAAACCAAAAAGTAGGCGCCGCACGCGATTCCCCAAGTGAGACATTAGAAAAAAATATCCATCCACTTGAGTGAATTGACAACTTTAGGCAAAAGCTGAAATTCTCTCAAGAAATCCTTCTTTGTTCCCTACATAAATCTGATAGTGTTCGTTGGGAGTTGTGGAGACAACATTTCAATTTAATCGTATCCTGCTACTACGACACCAAAAGGGCTGTCCCATTTGTGAGTAACCTTTCGGTCGGTACCCACCCGTTCTGACACGCTAATTAGACCCGACAACCTAAAATCACGCTACACTAAGCAGACCACGAATTCAATCAGCAAGTCTAATTATGAAGAGCAAAAAGAGGTACTTCAAAACATTTACTATGGCATAATTGACTGAACAAACTAATTTACTTCGAATCCATATTCTTCGAGAGGAAAGCCAGTGGTAGCAATTCCTCAATCTTTGTGAGGTGATACTCTCCCTTTCCGTTCACCAATACTATGGGCATATTCTTCCCGTAGCAAAACTCACTAATAACCTGCCTACACCGACCACAGGGCGGTGTAAACTTATCTCCAGCAACTGCAACTGCCAACGCAGCGAAATCTTTCACTCCAGCTGTGATAGCTGCCCCAAAAGCGCTGACTTCAGCACACCAACCACAGGGAAAGGAGGCGTTCTCCACATTCACACCTGTAAAAAGCCGACCCTCGAGATCTAGCAACGCTGCACCCACAGAAAATTTACTGTAACCACAGTAGGCGTTCTTCAAAACCGACATTGACGCCTTGCGTACCTTCTCCATCTCAGGTGTAAGTGTAGAAGCCATGGTTTGTGACACCGACAGCACACAAAAAGGCCACTCTATTTATAGCCCACCACGCCCGCGTCATTGGCCGGTTTCAGAACTGACGCTTTGTAGCGCAATTTCTATTGGTGCGTGTCAAGCGTGCTGTGCAGCGCAGTTGACCAATCCGGGAAAAGTATGCGCTTATGAATCAAATAACAGTAAATCAGCATAAAAAAGTACGGCTTATCAAGGGAAGCAAGCGCAGCGAGTTTATAGGCTATATCAAGAGCGAATGCAGTTTCGTTCACCACAGGAAGGCCCTGACGCATGACAGTGGCCAACCCACTCCAGGAGCGTCCAAGACGATGGTCGGTGATGCGGTCTTGTTGGTAGTTGTAAGTGCGAATGCGATCCGATCGAGCCAGCGAGCCTATTTGAGAACGCTTTTCGACCATTTCAGTCTCCACCTGCCGTCTAGCCACTTCGTTTGCAAGCCTGAATCATTGGAAGAAAAATGGTAGATGTTCTTTCTACACCTCGAGTGGGCTGCTAATGCTTTTGGAGAAATCCAGCATAGGCTCATGAAAACATAATTTGCCCAGAGGTTTTCTGTAAGCACATTTTCTGCCTCGACCTGCGGAACTGTGAGCATGACATCATGTAAAAACCCAAGCAAAATTTCTCTACAACAAAATGAATTGCTTAGAAACATGCACCGAATGAGACTGTCAGTGAGGCTCCGTGCAGTGATGTTGTTAAAGCAAAATTAGGAAAATAAATCGGTTTTCGATTCTACAAAACTAACCAAACACGTCTTCAGGGATGTGCCAAGGGTCAGAAAACTCAAGTTGATCTGAAGCTTAAAATTCACTGACGCAAACTATGAAATATCAAAATGAACAT